GGTACCTACAGTTGCAGGGGTGGGAAGCAAGATAAATCCATGGTTGTCAGCTCTAGTGGGCCTGCCAGGAGGAGACACAGCAAGCACATGCCCCTGTACCCAGGTCACCAGCTTTCAGAGATGCCGCTCAATGTCCTCTAACATTGGAATCCCTTTTTACCTCTCTGTTGAAACCCCAGGGTTTTAGATGAGACCATTCACTGCAAGGAGACTCTGTATTTTGCATCCTGCTTCTGCAGAAGCCTGGTAGTTCACAGGGCTTTCTCCTGATTGTTTTTCAAAACCCCTCGGACAGTAGAGAAGTATCCAGTGTGGGGCTCCTCCTGCAGACCTTTCGGAGTGCCCCGTTACTGCAAGAACTCCAGTTCTTCCATCCTCACTTCTGGTGGGCAGCTGACAACAGCCACAGTGCTCATGCAGGGAAATCAGCAAAGCCTTCCCTGTGCACTCATGAGAAGGAGTGACCTGCATACCACCTGATGGCTCAGACCCAGAGAGGTGATCGCTGTGTGTGTTCATCTCAAGCACGGTTGTTGGTTATGTCACAGGCAGCTTTCTCTGACTCACTGAGTTTTTGGTACATGAGAAAGCAAGTTGGCTCCTGTACTTCAATTAGTAATGGGTGTAATTTTCTGGTGTTTATCCTAAGGATTTGTGGGATTAAATTTCTAGTGGAAAGATCTATCTTGCTATACACTGTCTACATGAAGTCATTTGCTCTTCTGAACAATTTTTATTTTATCTCTTTAAAAACAAAACACTTTATAGGTTGGCTGTTTAAAATGCAAGTCCAGAACCTTAACAGAAAGCTAGACTCAGTGAGGTTTTTAACAGGTTAGATATCCTCAACACTAGCACTTTGCCTATAGATTTTTGCTACATGGCAGTGGTGGTGAACCTGTGGTACAGATGTTATTATGCTTTTCTTTTAAGACAAAGGATGTTAATAAATTGTTTTTCTAAACTAAAAAGTATTCAGGTTTAATTGTAGTATTGGCACTTTGCAATAAATAAGTGGGTTTGGGGTTGCAGTTTGGCATTCGGTCTCTAAGAAATTCACCGTGACTATTATATGGTATCTATTTTGCTGTGCCTCAGACTCATTTTCCCAAAGAAGGCTTCATACCTTGCCTCCAAGCTTGCTCTACTTCTAGTTGATTCATTCCCACCATCTCGTCCAGCCCTTTATAGATTCAAAGCCACCTAGTGTCCCTCCTCTTTCTTGATCCCTACAGCTAATGACCTTTTAAGTCTGCATATTTAACCATGCCATGCCTCCTACATGGAAAGTAATGTAACCATACAACTAAGTCATGCCCCACATGGATCCACTGTACCCCAAACCATTTGGTGCTTCATTAGTGCTTTGCGAGCTGCATACAAACTCCTAACGCAGGCTAAGGGGCCCTCCTAACTGGGCCAACATCTGCTTCCATCTTGCTCCTCATCACCCTGTCACTGGCCCCAGTAACAGTCAAATCACAGATGCCTCTACCACACGCTTCAATGCTTAATGATCCTCTGAAGACCAATGGAACAGACTAGAAGATGCAGACGCAACCACAAACACACTCAGCCACCTTATCTTTGACAAAGGGGCCAAACATGTTCACTGGAAGAAAGATAGCCTCTTTAATAAATGGTGCTGGAAAAACTGGCTTTCCACATGCCGAAGACTAAAACTACATCCATGCCTATCACCATGTACCAAAATAAAGTCAAAATGGCTTAAAGATTTAAATATTAAAACAGAAATACTAGATCTACTGGAAGAGAAAGGAGGTGGAGTCTTGAAGACAGAGGTAGGCAGAGAGCTCATGAACAAAAACCAAACTGCAAGGGAAATACTTCAAAGAATCAACAAATGGTATCTCCTCTTATTGAAAAGATTTTGCACATCAAAAGAAATCATCAACAGGATAAAAAGAAAACCCACGAATTGGGAAGAAATTTTAGCCAACTGTCCCTCAGACAAAGGACTCCTGTCTACAACATATAAAGAAATGAAAAAATCAGGCCCCCCAAATTCAAACACCCAATACAAAAATGGGCATCTGAGATGAATACACATTTCTCTGATGAAGAAATACAAATGGCAAATAAATACATGAAAAAATGTTCAACATCATTAGTCATTTGAGAAATGCAAATTAAAACACTGAGATTCCATCTCACCCCAGAAAGAATGACTATCATCAAGAAATCAACCAATAACAAATGCTGGAGGGGCTGTGGGGAAAAAGCAACTCTTCTCCACTGTTGGTGGGAGCGCAGACTGGTGTAACTACTGTGGAAATCAGTCTGGAGATTCCTCAGCAAACTAGGATTGGAAGTCCCATCCAGCCTAGCTATTCCCCTCCTGGGTATTTCTCCTGAAGAACTGAAAACATCATACCACAGCAATATATGTGCACCCATGTTTATAGCAGTGCAATTTGAAATAGCTCAATCTTGGAAACAACCCAAATATCCATCAGGAATGGATAAAAAAGATGTGGTATTTTTATACACTGGAGTATTACTCAGCTATAAAGAAAGATAAACTGCAGGCTTTTATAGGTAACTTCATGCAGCTAGAGACCATACTCATAAGTGAAATAAATCAGACTTACATGTGTAAACATTGTATTGCCTCCCTACTATAAGAACCTGAACAAGTAAATAAAATCTGAAGGGTGCAATAGATATTATGAAAGGGAAAGAAACTGCTCAAATAGGAAGGAGCAACTGAGATGAAGGAGGGGAGAGGAAAAAGAAACAAGGAAGAGAAAAAAATATGTGTGTATATATACACACACACACACACACACACACACAAAGATGGCTAAGATAATTGTACTACTAATTTCTATTGGTTTATTGAAAGGAACAGTTAAATCTTACATGTCTATATCTTATTATGTGAGCAACTACTTTAAAGATAACATTATATAATATAGCAACCATTGTTAATATCCTATCACCTTGTTTTGAAATTCTGTATCATTTTTATTGTTTTTTGGCTGTTTTATGTATTTTGTTAATTTGTTATTTTGCTCTTTTCTCTTTAAAATGAAAACAAAATGTATATGTATATACAAGGATATCTGGGATAGGTGTACTGCTGATGTCGGTGGTTTATTGAAAGCAACAGTTAATGCTTAAAATTTTCTTTTTTCTTGACCAATTTTGCATGCTTGTATTTGGTAATCAGAATGACTGATTTGAAGACAACAATATGCAATATAAGAACTATTGTTGAATTCCTACCATCTTGTATGGTGAAGCTCTGTGTCATTTACAATTTTTTTTCATTACTTGTTATTGTCTTTGTTTGATCAATCTTGCATTCTTACATCTGGTGGACTGAGCAACTTCATTGAAGGTAACAGTATGTAATGTAGCAACCACTGGTAATTCCTATCATTTTGTTTTGAGGTCATGTATTGTTTTTATTTTTTGTGTGTTGTTTTTGTTTTTGTCTTCATTGTTGTTGTTAGTTTTTTTATTTCTCTTTAAGATAAAAAAAAAAACTGCTTTTCTACAGTAAAAGTAACAAGAGGCAGGGTGAACACGATGGTTGGTGGTAGTGGTTAAACTTAAGCCTCCCAAAGCAACTGACGCTCTATCGTACCATTTAACTTTGGGAGCTTTCTAGTGGGTATGTTAGCATGTTGACACCCTTGACTGCCTTAAAGGATAACAACATTCATGATTTAACATAACAGAAAGTAGATGAGCTCTTCACAGCTGATGCTTTCAGTGAGATGATGACTTCACAGGAACCCAGGTTTTCCATATCTCTGCTATGTCGTCTGCAGACTGCCCCAGCTCAAAGCATGATCCTCTGTCTTCCATCCAAGTACTAACCCGGCCCAGCCTTAGCTTCTGAGATCGGGGTGGTATGGCCGCAGATAAGGCCTGATCCTTTATAAACAACTGGGGCTGTCTGCTTTTTCCCTCACATCTCCGGCAATGAGTGAAGGGGCCTCTTTTCTAATTATGGAAGAAAAGTCTCTCCTTATTGTATGATTGGCCAGTTTAGGTCACTGACCTAGCCTAGGACAAATAAGTGGTCTCCAGGGACACCCCAGGCATCAATTTGCTCAGGCTCAGGTTTCTAGAATTGTTTCTAAGAAGGAGGTTCAAATTTTCATGGTTGACTTAAGACTAAATACATTTGTGGAGAGAGGCACATTACTAAAAGCATGTAAAGGGGGAATGGAATGGATGTTTGTAGAGTAAAAGTCATACATATGAACAGGGACTACTGTTCTGTTCAAATTATGAACATAACTAACTTTTTAAATCAAGAAACTCCAATTTCTGAGATACAGCACTGAATGGGCTTGTGCATTTACACAGTGAGATGTTTTAAAGAAGCAAATCCTGCAAAGCTGGGGTTTGCAGTGGTTTTCCTCAGCACATGATCCCTGATGTTTAGCAGGGGGGTGTTCAAAACTGCTTTTCTGCTTGGATAAATACCATAAGTACAACTTCCTGAAATGAGGAACACTTGCACCAGAACAGCAAATCACACTGAAGAGGAGCCCTCAGGGCCAGGTGAGCTATAAAGGGTATCAAGGAAGAGGTCTGCAAAAGCAAATGAATCCTGTAAAGAAAAACTAAGGTGGTGCTGTTCTCCATGCAAATGATGTCTGATGACTCCAGCAAGCATCTATGACAGATGGGCTGTGTAGGTGAAGCAATATTTATCTGTGTGTACAGAAAGGAGCACTCACAGCAGTGTACACTACCCACTACTGGAAGCTGAGTGTCTGATCCACGAGCCTTGCTCCCCTGGCATCTACCTACTGCTGTCATCTTTACTCTGTCAGCAGTCATCACAGACGCACCCCCAGAGATGTCACCTAGCATCCCGTCCAGCCAACCAAGCTAACCATGCTCTCCGGCTTTCCCTGGAATCTGACGACAAGGCGGAGAGGGGCGAAGCCAGGGCTCCCCGTTCCAGCTGTCTGCTCCACAGACGCTGGACCACTTGGCCTCTGTGCCTCACTGACCTTCCAGGACACTGGAACTTCCCGCCTCCAAATGCCATGTAGCAGTCCAAGAACGTGCGCTTCTCTAAATTTGCCTCTTTCCAACGTTCCTGTGGGAAGAAAACATTTTTCCCCAGATCAGTCTTATATAAATAAGCTTCACTTTATTTCTCTAAGCTAAAAATGACCTTGTACAGCTAATCTCTGCATACAGAGTCTCAGGGTTGTTGGTAATTTTTTCCAACCTGTTATTAATATCAGACACAACTGGGTTTTTTTGGAACATGAACTTATAAATAAAAAGGCTTAAGAAGAATTCTGTTAAGTGGTAAATGTAAATGATAATGTAAATCAACCACAGAATGGACCTAAGAAGAGGAACAATATTTATAATAAGGACTCAGGCTCCATCATGAACTTGCTCTTGGTAATAAATTTAATAATAAGGCACCAGTAGCCACCCTGTGGGAGAGAGGTGTACAGAATGGATACAATCACAGCTTTGCTGGAAGTTTTACCTAAACGCAGAACATGAATGAAATGTGTGTCTAAAGACTGTCTGTTCAGCCTTGTAGCTCAGATCATGAGAGATGACAAATCAGTGTTTTAATTTGCTTTACTTTTACTTTGTGTATTCCTTGGAAACCAGTAACAGAAACAACTGCCTAAAGAATATGAAACAAGTCTTCCTTTAGAACCAGGTGTATTTACTGAGCATGCCTTTCTGGTTCCAGATAAAAATTTATTTCAAGGTAGTGGATGCTTATTCCAAAAAGTTTTTCTATCTGATCTGAGAATGTGGTACCTTCTACACTGCCAATCTAATGCACTTTATGGCGAACTTTTTTCACAGTTACCAGATAAGTATCATGTAGTATTAGTTAATTTATGAATTCACACTCTTGACAAAAAAAAGAAATTAAAATCAAAGGATGATGTATATGGAAGCACACAACTCACAGGTTTGAATGATTCGGGATCAGGAAAATACTTCGGATTTCTGTGCAGCCAAAATGGAGACAACATCAACAAGTCACCAGACGGAACTATGTAATTCTGCGGGAGAAAAATCAGCTTCTAAAATCTGTTTTGAAAAGTGTTTGGGTCATTAAAAACAATGCTACAACTATATTACAGCAAAGACATAAACATTTTATTTTTAAGTTGATTGTGAGAAAAATCTAATCTTCCTGGACCAATCATCTCTGTTACTCAGCTTATGCCACGACTGATTTCAAATTCTGATTATTCGTCACATGCTCACATGTATTTGGTAACACGGAAGGATACTAGGTAAATGACAAAGTTTTATGAACTAGTTTAGGTAGAGTGCAGTGCAACTTCTGATGTTTGAGGCTGGCATCGGCAGCAAGTGTTCTTGATGGAAACCATGATGGATCTCTATGTTGTGGGACAAATCATCAGGCTTGGAGACAAGGACAACAGCTAGAGTAGCACTGAAGACAGGCACACTGGTGTCCTGTTCTTGGGGACACTGATGAGAGTACCAGGGAAGGGCAGTGGATTTCTTGTTCCTTTTGTTTTGGATGCTTTTTCTTTTTCCTTTGGTGAGGAAATTAGCAGCAGCGATAAGGGCAAAAAGAATTTAAAGACAACTGGTTGAGAAGACAGAGGAAAAAGCAAACACGGGCATTTATTTGGCTGGTTTTCTTTGGGGTTGCAGAGCACCTAGGACAGAGGATAAGCAGTGCTTTCTCCAACAGGAGAGTCAACATCATCCTTCCCAATTCAAAGACAAGACGTTTTCATGATCTGTACAACCTATACCAAAAACTAAAAATGGATTTATTGAGTCTCTCTTTCATCATCATATCCAGGAATCACAGGACAAGGTCCCCCAAGTTTTGCGATCATCAGGTAGCCCCCAAACTCCCTGAAGTGAAATATTTTGAGGTCCCTCTCATGCTATTTATCATAAGCCATGTCTATTTAACACTGTACAATTTTGGGATGTCCTCCTGAGCAAAATACTTCAAATTTATATATCCAAAAAAGGTACACCTACAACTAAAAATCGGCCTTTGGTTGACAGGAGAGGATGGAATATGGGTGGGGTCATCAGTGTTTAACCCAGGTGAACCCCTGCTGTCTCTGGTGGGAGTGAATCACTGTCTGAGGCTGGGTGATTTCCGTACCAGCAGCGCTGGCGAGCCAGATCCCAAACCGGGAAGGGTGAGGCTCTTGCTGGTGCCCTCTGTCCATTTTCAAAAGCGGAGACCTGTGAGATCCCAATCCTAATGTGTATCTCACCCCTGCTGAACTGAGGCTTGGAGGGGTCATGGCTGACTCCAAAGCAGCCACAGAGGTCCTAACATATGTGGGGTGGGCTGGGTTGGCCCTGGGACAGGCCTCTAGTAGGGACAACCCCCTCTTTAGCTGCTATTAACCTGTGATCATGAGTTGGAGATTGCTGATTGCTGCAGCCCACAAATCAGGCTAGCAGAGGACAGGAGGCTTCAAATAGGTCCTTAGGTACAGAATTCATATTAGCAAGAGGGAGGAGGTAAGAAAGAAGCTCCTGGTGCAGCACCAAGTACCAGGCTGATGAAAGGCAGAGATGTCTGATCTGACCGTATCAAAGAAACACTTGGGGCAGGGAAATAACACTATGCCCAGGCTATGGAGTCGCCATCTTGGTTTATGTAACAATTGAAGAGAAAGATCGTGAAGGAGAGAATATGTCGAGGTGGGCCCCTCCAGAAGAAGGAAGCAAAGTCAGGATTACCTGTTGTCACTCCAGAAAGGGTAGCGAGAGTCAAGTGGGTATCAGAAATGTGGAGTCTTGAGAATGGGGAAGTCCTACAAAGGCCAAGGTGCAAGAGAGGGTAAGGAAGGAGAGAAAGGAATCTGAATATTGATGAGAAGGGGACAGTAAAAGCGTAAAACATTTTTAAGAGATTTTCATGATGGGCAAAGCAGTATTTAAAAAAATAACTATAGACCACTGTCTCTCATGAACTTAGAGGAGAGTTTCTCAATAAAATGTCAAAACAAATGCAACAATTTAGAAAAAAAATTATGCGCCTTGATCAAGTACAACTGATTCCAAGTATAAAAGGCTGATTCAGTGCTAAAATATCAGTAAATGTAATCTACCCACATCAATAAGCTAAAGAAGAAAATCATATGCTTACATCAACCAATGCAAAAAAGCACTAGAGACAATCCAACACCTACTCATGATAAAATTCTAAGCAAACCAGAAATAAAGCAATATTTTTAACTTGACAAAGAATATCAACAAAAACTGTACACACTCCCATATCATACTTAATGGTAAAAATGGAAATGCTTTTTCCTTAAGATCAGAAACAAAGCAATATCTTGTCAAAACGAGCAGTTAACAAGGAGCTAGAAGTTAAGGCCACCAATGCAAGGAAGAAAGAAAAGGAAACAAAAGGCACACAGGTCACAAAGTAAAACATAAAAATACTGTCTGCATTAAAAATCCCAAGAAATCTACATAGTGCTAGAGACTAGTAAGTTCAGCAAAGTTGCAGATATACCATCAACAAACAAAATCACTTGTATTTCTATAAACAAGTAATGCACAATTAAAAGCCAAAATTTTAGGGGCTGGGGATTTAGCTCAGCAGCATGGCACCTGCCTAGCAAGTGCAAGGTCATGAGTTCGATTCCCAGTACCAGAAAAAAGAAAACCAAATCCCCCCCCCAAAAAGCCAAAATTTTAAAAATACCAAGTACAGAAGTTCCAAAATGAACGAAATATTTAGATATAAACCTAAAAAAAAAAAACCTATTGGATCTATACGCTTAAAACAAGAGTATCTGCTGTCTGATAAACAGGCTGAAATTCAGCTAATTATCTACTAACCAGAACACAAATGGAGCTTAATAAAAGTTCAATTAAAAGTTACTGTAAAAACCAGGGTAATTAAAATACTGCTCTATTTAACCACCAAGTAGATGATTACATACTTTAATACCCATAATTACATACAAAGCATAATTATATGCTTTAATACTCATAATTTGAAGTAATTAATTGGATTAGTTAGAAGCAAAACCTGTCAATATATCAACTAAAACTAAATGCTGTAATTTATGTAGGATATGTTAAACAAACTTTATCCTCATTGGAAGCAGAAGTAACTTTTGGACAAAATTCAAATTTTTACCTCTTGTGTGTTCTACTACAAAATTTTCTTGGTTTCAAACCAAGGACTCAAACTATGTATAAAAAGGTAAACAGAAATGGAAGACTAACTAAATGTGACCTCTCTGGATAATGCAGGCCCTAAATCAACTCAATCTAAACCAAAAAAAAAAAAAAAAAAAAATTGCTCTGCCTGACATATTCACAGATATTTAACTGAAACTGCAATGTGCATAGACCCTATCCCAGAAAGGCCCTCTCTTTTGCACTCATTTGATGACTTGAACACCAAGTGAGATCATCCATGACATTTCTGCTACCTGTTCCCTCATCTGTGACTTCTGGCCTGACAGTGTCCTCCAGTTACCCAGAAGAACTTCCTCCACATCCCAAACTCCTAAGCCCATTGCTGCTCAGAAATTCTTGTGGGTTGAATCAGTAGAAGAAAGACCATCGGGGCCACCTGCTTGATTTAAATAGGATTTCACCAATTCTGATGCAGGCTCACATAGACAAAATGATTAAAGGTTACAGTTTAGCTAAAATATTTACCAACAGATAAATTTCTCTATTAATGACTTTTTTTGGTACTGAGAATCGAACTCAGGACCTTGTACTTGCCAGGCAAGTGCTTGTGCCACTGAGCTATATCTCTGGCTTTATTAATGAAAACATGCTACACAACTTATAGTTAGCTATCCAAGGTCACTTGGTACATAATGGAATTATATAATCATGTGTGCTTTCCAAATTCCAACAACATTTTTCACAGCAATAGAAAAAAATCCTAACATTCATATGGAACTGCGAAAGACCTTGAGTAGCCAAAGCAAACTTGACCATTACATTATCTGACTTCAAAATATACTATAAAACTATAGTAACCAAAACATTATGGTACTAGCATAAAAAGACACATAGACCAATGGAACTGAACAGAGATCCCAGAAATAAATCTCTACATTTACATTCAACTAGTTTTTAACAAAGGTGCCAAAAACACCCAGTGGGGAAAGAATAGTCTCTTCAATAGATGGTACTGGGAAAACTAGACACCCATATGCAAGAGAAAGAAATGAGATACTTATCTCATGCCATGTAAAATTACTCAATATGGATTACACATAAGTCTTGAAACTGTAATACCACTAGAGTAAAACATAGAGAGAAAGCTGATCTAGACAACGAGATTTTAGATATGAGCAAAAAAAGGCAGGGCAACAAAAGCAAAAACAGGCTTACATTAAACTAAAAAGCTTCCACACAGCCAAGCAAACATTCATAGAATAAAGACACACTACGGGATGTTAGAATATATTTGCAAACCATGCATGTAATAAGGGGTTAATAGTACAAATACAGAAGTACATCCAAGAACTCAATAACAGGAAAACAAATCATTAAAAATAGGGAAAGGATCTAAACAGACATTTCTCAAAAGAAGTCATATAAATGATCAACAGGTATATGAAAAATGCTTGACATCGCTAATCATCAGGGAAATGCAAACCAAAACTGCAATGAGATAATGCTTCACACTTGCCAGGATTTCTGTTATCAAAAAGACAAAAGATAAGCATTAGAGAAGGTGCAGAGAAAGGAATTCTTCCTGGCACAGTATTGGCTTGGAATGTAAATTAATACAGTCATAAATGGAACATTCTATGGAAATTCCTTAAAGAGTAAGAATAAAACTACCATATAGTCCCGCTATCCCTCTACTGAGCATATATTCAAAGGATATGAAATCTGTGTGTCAAAGGGATATATGTACTCCTATGTTTATTGCAGCATTCTTTATAATAACCATGGTATGGAATCAACCTATATCCATCAACAAATGAATAAAGTCACACACACACACACATAGACACATAGACACACATACACACAAATACTATTGAGTCCTTAAAAAGAAGCAAATCTTGTCATTTGCAACAATGTGACTGAACATGGAAGATATTATGTTAAGTGAAATAAACCAGGTACAGAATAATAAACAGTAAATTATTACAGTTTAGATCTAAAATGTCCCTAAAAAGTCTCATGTTTGGTGGTTGGTCCTGATTGGAAGGGATGGCTCACTGTGAACGTAATTTGGAAGGGTGTATTCTCATCCCTGGCTCCTTTCTTCATTCTCTGCTTCCTGGCCACCATGTGGTAAATAGCTTTTCTCTGTCATATCCTTCTACCATGCTGTTTCTGATTCAGAGCCAACTAACCATGGACTAAACCCCTGGAACCGTGAGCCAAAATAAACCTCTTTTCTTTTAAATTGTAGGTATTGAGTTATTTTGTCTCAGAGATGGAAAAATGACTAATACAGAAAATTGGTGCCAGAAATGGGGTCATTGTTACCTGACCCTGTGGGGTTCAGAAGCCTTTGGAAATGGTTTATGGGAGGAGTTTGAAAAGGTTTGGAGAAGCTGCCTAGAGAAATCCTAGCATGCTGTGAGGAGTGCTTGATGTGCAATACTGGTAAGGGCTCAGAAGACCAGGATGATGATAGGAATGTAAACAGTAAAGGCTAGGCTCAGGAGGTTTCATTTGGGAACAGGGACTCTACTGGCAGTTGGACGAGAGGGCATATGTGTTATATTTTAACAGAAAATTTGTCTAGAAACTATCCACATCCTAAGATTTTGCAGGAGACTGAGGTTAAGGGCAGTTGACTAATTAATCTGGTGGATGAAATTTCAAGGCCCAATGTTCTGCTGTGGCTACCTTTAGCCAGATGTACAGTGAGAACCAGAAGCAAATGGCAGAGCTAAATGATTGGAAAGGTCTGCAGTTTTACCAGAAAGGAAGTACCTGCCAAAGTTCAGGCAAAGGATTGCATAGCTGTTAAAAAGATTAGCATTAAAAAGCTGCCATTTTTTATATAGGAAAAAAACAAAGATGCCTTCAGGGGATCTTAGAAACCAGTAAGAGCCCATCCACTGCAGGGTTAAAAGTGTAAAACTAAATTTTTCCATTAAGTCCCCAACTTTGGAACGTTTGAGTTGTGAATTTTCATATACAAATGGATCTCACATTACAAATATCCTTAGATGAAAACAAATCATGGAAGTACCTCACATGTCTGCTGGACATGTCACAGTTGTATGGCTGTGTGCTTACTATATAGTGTGACGTGTACAGTAGTACAGTGCTAAATCAGAGCCCAGGATATCTGGAAGCAAGAGGAAAAATAGTGGTGATATGAAGGGGACTGCTAGGTTGCACAAAGCAATATACATTATATATTTGTGTCAAAGGTATATAAGATTCATTTTGTCATACTTACAAATGAATCCAACTTATGAATGAATCAACTTATGAATGTTCTCTCAGAACAGAACTTGTCCATAAGTCAGGGCCTTGGTGCATATGAAGACAGTCTTGGGAAGCTTGGTCATTCAAGGCCACCTAGGGAAGTATATCCCTGAGTTTGGCTATGTATGTAATCAGAGGTAGCTGCAGCTGTGGTCCAACGAGGCCCACCTACTGCTTGGGCTAGCAGGAGATCTCAGCATCATCCCTACTGGTATTTCAGGTATGCAGAGTGTAGGAACTATAGGGTCATGGAGGCTTCCATGCAGATTTGAAAAGATTATCTGGGCGGCCAGGGAAAAATGTGTGACAGGGTCACAGCTCCTTCTAGTACCTCTGAGAGGGTTCTGTATGAACCTATGAGAGTAAAGCCAAAAGAAAAGAAAATGGGAGAGCTTGGAAAGGTGGGAATGCTCGGACTATGGACCATCTACTGAGGAAAGGTGCAGGCAGTGAGCAGAGCTGCCCCAAGAGAGAAGCCACATAGGCTACAATTGGCAGTGCTGTAGGGGTGGGACCATCTAAGCCCTTGAAGCTCAATTCTTGACACAAGATCTGTCGGGGTGCTAGACACAAGGCTACAGGACTTATGTTCGCCCTGCAGGATATTGGTCTTGCTTTAGTCCTATTTTGTCTATTCCCCTATTCCACGTTTTAGAATGGGATTGTTTATCCTGTTTCATTATATGTTAGAAGTGTTGAACTACCTTTCTTTTTTATTTTTTTATTTTTATGGGGGCTCATAGCTGAGTTTGCCTTGCATCTCAGAGGAGACTTTGAACTTGGGACTTTACTGCAGTGCTGGAGCTGTTAAGACATTGGCAACTCTTAGAGAGAGTCTAAATGCACTTTGTATAATGAGATGAACATGAGCCTTTTGGGGGCCAGGGGTAGAATGCTATGATTTTGATAAAAAATGTCTCCCCAAAGTCTGACATTTGGAGGTGGGGCGTAGTCAGAAGGAGCAGGTCACTAGAGGCTTCATGTGCAAGGTATACTCTTGTTCCTGATGCCTCCTCTCACTCCCCTTCCCAGTCACCACGGTGAACAGCTTTCTTCCACCAAGCTGCTTCTGCCTTGGAGCCAGCCACTCATGGATGAAACTGAAATTTCCCCTGAAATGGTGAGTAAAAGAAACCTTTCCTCCTTTACGTTATAGGTGTCCAGTTATTACATCCCAATGAAGGGAAAATTACTAACACAATTAATCTCACTTATGTCTGGAGTCTAATAAGGGTGAACTCTCAGAAGAACAGGGGAAAAATGGTATTTACCAGGGGCTGGGGAGATGGGTAGTTTAGGGAGATGTTTGCCAAAGGACACAAAATTTCAGGTACCTACTAGAATTAAATTCAAGAAATCTATTATACAACATAGCAACTATGGTTAATAACAACGTACAGCAATACCTCGGCTCATAAGTGCTTCTATTTGCAAAAAATTCAGTTCCCAAGTGAAGTGTTTGGCAAAATTATGCTTGGTTTGTGAACTCTGCATCTGGTGATGAACACAACCTGGCCATCTTCCCTGCACGAAAATAAACTCAGCCAGTACCCCCAGAATCATGGAATGAATTAAGTTTATGAACCAAGGTACCACTGTATTATATTCTTGAAAATTGCTAATAGAGAGTAAATCAATGTTCTAACCCTAAATGTATATGAAAATACATACGATAATTAGCTTGATTTATTCATTCCACAATGTATACATTTCTCAAAACATGTCCTATATGATAAATACACTGGTACCTTGGTTCACAAACTTTATTTGTTCCACAACTCTGGAAAAGATGGTCACATTTGTGTTCATGTGGGAAAGATGGCTAAGGCCACACTCATCACTGCATGGAGAGTTTGAAACAAAAACAAAATTTTGCCAAATGCTTCTGTTCATGAACTGAATTGCTCACAAACAAAAGAGTCTGTAAACCAAAGTTCCACTGTATATGTAATTTTCGTTCAGTTAAATATAAGTGGAAACTTCATAAGTCATATGTCAATCTAAAAAATAAAATAAATGAGCAAATATGTACTTTTTTTTCCTAGAAGGATGATTATTTTAAAACAAAACCAATGCTTACCAAAATTTTCACTGGCTTCACTACTTTCCTAGTTATGACACCTGGGGCTCTTAAACGAATGGCTTCCAAAATACACCATTTAATTAGCAAGAGTTTCTTCAACATATCCTCTGATACTGTGATCTTCTCTTCACCTGGCAAGAGAAAGAGAAGGATGGACTAAGAGACCGGAAGATGACATCCTGCGGTCCCACGCACTCATTACTGAGGCTCAGTACTGCCTCTGGCTGCCAAGAAAGTGCTACTTGTGGTTTTCTTTTTTGGCCTTTTTCTGTGACATGATAAATGCACATTTGACTTTGATTCTCAGACCCATGGCTATCAGATGAAGAAAATCCCTGTCAGGAAGGTGTTCCATTTCCTTCTCTCATCCTTGTTGTCCAGGTTCTCCTTCCATGAAAGGAGAAAGCAGTGGGAAAGGGTAAGACTGGCACTGAAAGCACGAAGTCTTTCAGTGAGAAAGCCACCCAGCGATCTTCCTCTGTGTTCTCCCCCCTGGCTCATTTTTCCTTTTAAATTATTCATTTCAGAAGCCTGCAAAGAGGAACAGGATAGGGAGGGCAGGGCACAGGGAACTCCACTGGAATGACGTGTGTCCCTTGAGAGGTGCACGGAACTTCCCTAAGGTGACATGCACACCTCAGTATTTAACCTGAGGGCACCTGAAAGAGAACCCAGGTCAGTCTTGTGCTGTCCAGAGTATGATCCCTGCCTTTCAGCCTGATTAGACAGCTGAGGTGATGGTATGTCACAACACATAGCGTGTGTCTTTACACCTGTGGGGCCTGATCTACAAACAGTTGCTAAGAACCAAAAACATCATTATCCACTGAAAACCATCTTGATGTATCATGAAAACACAGTGGCACTACAAATTTCATTTTATACTTTTCCTGAACTATTCCTATATCTTCTAAGCTAATTCAGAAAAATAACTTAGAAAAGCCATGGCTGGAATTAGAAAATGTGTATTTGAAGTGACCGAGACTTTGGCACATGGAACAGAGACCATTACTTGGCCTTACTGCTTGTATTTAGCGGAGAACAAAGTGCTAAGCACTGCAGGAGGCAAGAAATTTAACCCTCAGGAGATCTTCACCTTCATACATGACAGAGTCTAACTAAAGCAAGGGTAAGGATGTTCTTTAGACAGTGTTTAAATGAGAAATTTGGAGGCTATATTCTGTAGACTTAGGGATGACATGTACCCTTAGAGTAGTTCCCAGCATTTGGTAAAGGCTTAATACAAGGAAGTGTTTATCATTATCGTACATTCACCAAATGAATGTAGTGATTCTATAGAAACCATATCTTCCTGATGTACTCTTATTCCACAGATGGTAGTTTCTTTTCCCCTCAGAACATCCCCGCTTCTGTCCTTTGATCCTTCCTCTCACCACTGCTCTCCCTCTCTTCTCATCCTGCAGTATTGCAGACTGAATCTAGGCCCTCAGGCATGCTAGCGAAGTGCTCTACCCAAGCTACATCCCCGGCCATTCCTGAAACCTACACAATGGACGGCTGAGTCCCTCACTCACTAGAGACCCTGTCTGAGGAGCTGTTTCACTCACTCTGCTGTGGTGCAGGTGTGGTTTATTCCCCAAGGTCCGTGTCCCTGAAGCTGGGTCAGCAATGTGCTGTACTGAAAGGTGAAGTGACTTTTGGTGACAGGTGACCGGGTCATGATCTCTCTCCCAAAGGGAGAGGGTCAGCAACTTAGAGAAGAGCTACTGCAGAATGTGCCCTCCCCATGTGAATGGTCTTTTCTGCACCCAGTTTTTCACTTCCCTGCCACATCATGATGTAGCCAGGGGACTCTGGCCAGATGTGCTCTGCTATTTGACCTCCTCCTCCTCATAGTCAAGAGGCAAATAAATCTCTTCTCTTTTGGACTTCCCCTGCCTTGGCATTCTGCTACAGCAACATGGGGCCAACAGGAGGTGGGCAGATGCTGAGCGAGGGGGAAGGGTGGCCCTGGGCAGTACTGTGGGCACAGCCCTTAGCCTGGGGATCTAACTCTAGGGAGCTGGTATTGGAACAGGGTTATATTCTTGGATACCCTGGCCATCCTGATGAGACCTGTAGGAATGCATGGTATGGAAAAATCAATGCCCCCCCTCAGCATAAATCCAAATTACTTTGCTGAGTAAAGTCTACCTCTCCCTTTAACCTTACCCCACACTCAATCGTGGAGACAAGACAACCTGCAATTTACCCAATCTCTCCACCTTATGCCGTTAGCTCACCTAAAAAATGGGAATATTGAACGTGTCTGCCCTGTAAGGTTGCTGTCAGGATTAAAAAGGCAGAGACACATACATGCTCACAATAACTGGCAAGTGGCAAAAACTCAGTAGCTGTAACCCATCACGTCAGCCATTCCTCTGCCTTTCCCAGTTCTTTGAAAACTTGGCTCCCTCCTACCCTTCAGGCCTGAGCTAAAACACCTCTTCCCTGACCACCTTGGCCAACATCTCCCTGATCACTATCACAGCACTTTATCTCCTTATACTTCTTAGTATTATATTAATTAATTTGGCTTACTGCTTATATTTGGGCTCCAGTACCTAACACTGAGTCTGCTACGTGCGGGGAGGGTGCGCCATACATTTTTATTAAATGGATAAATGGATGAATGAATGGAAGAATGTCTAAGATGACCAAGTCAACTAAGACCAATGAAAACATCTGTAGTTTGTGTAAGGGCATCAGAGGAAACATAAGGAAATCAAACCGGAAAGAGATTTCTGAAGGAGAATGTGAGTTGTTTATTTTTTGTGGGACTGTGATGGAGACCACTACAAAGTGGCCCTGAGCAGGGTTTATATTAAGCAGGTGGCTTTTCACGTTTACTTATAAGTTCGCCCAAGACCTAGGCACTGCAGGAGACTAGGCACTGACTCCTTGTCAGGAGATAGAAGCCTGTAATGGCAGGTGAAGCCTTGGTGCCTCAAAGGACGAGACAAGATCATGGCTAATGACACCTGGCTCCAACCTCAATTAGCTAGATAAAGACTGTAGCTGCAAGCACCTCACTCCTGTGGTGAAGGCCTTCCTGGGGATGACAGTTCTCCTAAATTAACATGATATACTACTTGAAGAAGTCCTTAAAGGGATTCCCAAGTCCTGCCCAGATTCCTGCGTTTTCTTCAGGATTCCCCTCCTTTGTTTGATAACATAATAAATATGGGCTGCCTAGAGAAGTTCTTGGTCTTAAACCCCAGAAAATCTCAAATTCTGTGAAAGTGTTTAGAACCTCCCAGAGCTCTGAAATCATTTCATTTGTCTCATTTATTTAAGCCTTCACCATCCACCCGTGTGGGAGACTGTGGGTCTGATCAGTCTGCAATAACAGGGGGATATTATTAATCCAATAGTACTGGGAACTGAATGTAGGGCCTTTGCACTGAGGAATATCCGAAGCTGCTGAAGCTTGTGATCCTCCTGCATCAGCCTCCCAGAGTGCCAGGATTACAGGGGTACAAACATACTCAGCTGAACATTTTAAAATAAAAAAGCGAGTAGTAAAAAGGTATATAGCAGATCAGTGCTTCTCTTGCACCGGGCCTGCGTGGTCCAAGTTCCCTGTGACTTGGATCCTGCAGGTCCGAGAAGCACACTGCAAGGAACACAGTGTGAGTGTAAAAGCAGATTAGCCTTGTAGCCAGCTGAGTTAGATAGAAATATTATAGGCAGTCAGATGGCCCGCCCCTCAAAGGAGCCAGTATGGAAGACAAGATACCTTGCAACTGTGGGAGAGACAGATACTTTCCGCTGTGGACCGGACCTCCAGACAAAAGGTTAAACAAATGCACCCACATACATCCCTAGGGATGGACATCAGGGATTGATATTTTAAACAGGTACCAATCGCCTTGAAAAAGCCTGGAAGAGCCACTAACCCAACCCCCTACAGGCCCCTGTTCTGTGTTCATGCCTGCTTCCTACATGCCTGGCTTCCCCATTTGATCCCGATTTAATAGATTATATCTGAACAATTATACTTGTAATCTTATTGGTTGACCATAGTTTTGTCCTACCTCATACCTGCCTTGTGATTTCCCATTTTTCCCCACCTTGGACCCATGTCACCTCGTGGCTTTGTTCTATAAAATCCTTAGAAAGGCAGGGCAACCCTTGGCAACCCACTTGGGCCCCTGTCTGTCCCTCTCTCAGACAGAAGCTTTCTTTCTCTCAGTAAATATATTCTACTTTTAACTTCCATGTTCCTAAAATTCATTCTTTGATTTTAGAGAACACAAACTCACCCCAGACATTTTTCAGGTTGGGAGTTTCTTTCCCCTCCATCAGCCTGATTATAGTTATCAAATGTTCTAGGCTTCTGGCAGTTCTTAGTAGCAGCTATAAAATTATTATTTAAAAAAATATGTATGTAGTGGGTAAAACTCATGATGAAATCAGAAATCCTGAGAGCATGTATTGACCCTGAAAGCCACTAGCTTTTATTAGTATGAACATACAAGGGCTTTTATTTCTTATTAAGCACCACAGAATTAGAAAATAGGATGATCAACTCTGAAGGAACGCTGAGTTAGCCAAGACTTCAGTAATGGAGCCAAATGCTATCATTTCGCAGCTGCAAAGGTGCCGTTTTCACCAGAGCAGGCGTGGCAAGGTGCCCCCTGGGGCACTGGCTGAGCTTTTATGGACTCCTGTGCATTCTAGCCTTGTTCTTCCCCACATGAGACACGGCCGAGGGCATGGGGTGGCGAGTATGGCCAGCACTCCAGTTCCACCGCACTGTCTCACTGTGTAAATAACTGTTTGCCAGCAGAAACAGCAGCACCGCTGGTTTGTACGTGGTCTATGACTGTTTCTATGCTATTCTGGCAGTGTTAAGAAGAAGCTATAGAGACGTCATACTCCATAAAGCCTAAAATGTTTACTATCTGGGATTATACAGCAAAAGCTTGCCCTTGTCTTACGGGGATGAAGGGCTCAAGCTATTGCTTTGCTCTACGTTGTGCCTTTTCTTACCCGAAGTCCAGGCTGTATTTCAGCATGTGAATTTCATAATATTCCAAAGCTGGTGTGGTCTTCACTGCTCTTACCATTTTTATGACCAAGTCAACAATATAATGTCTTGCATGGCATTTGAATACCATGGTTATTT